AATATATATATATATATATATATATATATATAGATAAGCAATCCCACTAAGGCATTAACCTTAAAACTTAATGCCGGCAGATAAAATTCATCGTTGATGGTCAATGGATAATAGATCCCCAGAGACAGGTTGCCACCAATGGTCACATAATCAACAATGTCCTTAGGGTAGAAAGATGAGCATCCATTGATTCCAAGTGAAAATGACGGTACAACTCTCACTAATATCATTCACTCCATGCATTCACTGTCATTCATTTATTAGCTTGAAGAACAGCCGGATATCTTCATTTTAGAACATTATTTTCTCTCTAAGAGCCAAACTTTGCAATTTATTTCCATCCTGTAAGTCATTGTACATGCAGCATATCAAAATCAAAGGTTTTTGAATATTGAATATTCTGTAAGGTAGATTCCATGCGAGAATGGTAAGTTCCTGCAGCAATGATTTTAGCTGTAAATGTTTTCCGCATCTATTATTTTATAAAATGTTCTTCTCTGTGAAATTACCTTCTGCTTCTTCTGGACTTTAGTTGTAAATTAATTATATATTCCATTATTAGCTCCTACCATGAGTTTTACAACTGACCCATCATCCATAATTTTGTGTAGTTATTTGATGAACAAGATGGCTTGAATTAAGAAGTTTAGTTTGAGAAGAGAAAGAATTTTAGAAGTTTTGTCTAATTATCATTTAGTCTTATTTCTGATGACAAAATAATAGTTGTAGGAAGAGCAATTTTGTCTGGAGGAATCAAAGTACATCATTTGTTCCTACTGGTTTGCATCTCATGAAGCTTCATATTGATTTTCCAACTCCAAAATTATAATTGAAACTATAAACTCTTCACCCTACCTGTAATTGTTATTGTTAATGATTTCAATTTGGGTTAAGGCATGTTAAACTTGAATACGACAACTCAAATTTTGCATGACTTGAATCGGACTCATTTATTAAATAGGCTGAAAAGTCTAACCCAAACACAACTTATAGCATGATTGACCAACCCGTGACCATTTAACATATTTATAAATGATGTGGATCGGATGATCCTCAGCAGTAAGTGATTATTTAGCGTCTTAAGGTTATATGAAAATCCAATATACAATCAGGTAATTAAAGAAAAGTGAGCAAAAGAAGACATCAGTTAAAGCTTAGGTGTTAGATATGTAAATGCAGATAAGTTGGGTCCACTGTAAAATCAAGAATTTTGGCGCAGGATTTTTGTGAGGTGGAGGCAAAATTATTTAAATAAATTCTTTTGTGTTGTAATTTACTATATAGGTTGAATTAGGTTAGTGTGTTTCTTTTAATGAAATATAGAAAATATACTTCAAATCCTATAAAGTGAAGATGCAGGAGTGGAATCGTTTTGTATAGTATTATATGACATGTAAATATGAGGACATTTATATCTTTAAATATAGCAGTATGTATGTAAAATTCTTCTTTTTTTATTTACCACAGAAAGTATATAGATGATTAGAAAGTACTTCCTTTATAGATACAACCATGAGAAAAACCATTATTTTTTAGTATGCAAGTATAACATATTATGTGCTTCCAGCTGGTGGGATTATGTTTTATAAACATAGTAAGTGTAGTTTTATATCATCGCTAATAAACTTGTAGAAGGAATGAATGGGAGAAGTTCTATTCCAGTCTAATTAAATGTTTTTAATTATTATCAAAGAAAGTTCGTAGGGAAAAGAGTTTAGTCTTCTTGGTATTCATCTTTTTAACTTCATTATTTTTAAGAGAATTTTATATTTCTTTGAGTTTCTTGTCTGAGACTGGTGCTTCAAAGTGTTTGATTGGAGATCCATGACTTCACAGCCCAAAAAGGCTGACATTCTTTGAAGAGTAATCTTAAACTTCACAAGAAGATTTTATGAAAGTTGGTCTCGAGCTCTTAGGAGTACTAAATATTATTACGACTCTTTACTTGTTATCAAACTTTGATATCACCAGTGTAGTGCTTTCCGCAAATATATAAGCTTTTATTGAGCTTAGAGACTAGATTTTTCTAATCTTTGTATCAAATATCTTTTTATTGAACCATGAAGATGTCTTATTTTAGATTTTCATAGAGTAAAATAGTTTCAACATCCATTTGGTTTAGGTGCAAGTCTTTTGTAGCTATTAAACTCAGGCTTGCCATACATTAGCTATTTTAATTATATGAGAGAAATTTCCAATGAAATCATTATCTTTCTTATGCTGGAAATCTTTCACTATTAGCTTCATTCTGTACCTTTTAATTTTATTCTGATTCTTTTTTTTACTTTTGTAAGTTCATTTATTTTGTAGAACTTTTATATCTTTAAATACCTTAGTCAATATCCTAGTGTTTTTTTTTTTATAGAAAATTCTTCTTTTCTTTTGTTATCTCTCATTTTGATGAATCTTTAATTTTTATCTTTTTTTCATATCATTCATGTTCACCTACTTCAGTAAATGACATAATATAAAGAAAGATAATACTGATTAGCATGTTTTGTAATTATTTATGATCTTTTGTGCTGCGTTGAAACCAGTTTTGATCATTTTTCTGTCCTCCTATCATTATTGAATTTAACTAGCTCTTCTAATTTAGCTTGTATTAATAATGGAGGTTTCCTTTTAAATTGTACTTGTCTTATCATTATAGGTTTCAATTTCTTTGAAAACAACATTCTTCATTCTATTTATTTTTTTTTTATCATCCATTATAGGTTTCAATTTCTTTGAAAACAACATTCTTCATTCTATTTATTTATTTTTTTATCATCCAAAAATTTATAGCTCAATTCATTAGTATTATAATCAGTAAAGTAATATTTTTAATATTTTGATCAAGTTTTTCTCTCAATTATTATTTATGTCCATAAAAAGGAAAATAAAAAACTTTTCAAATGTTAGAGGCATAGGTTCTTTCTAGTCCATGTTTCTTTAGAAAGTCCAAAATTAACCGTTATAGACGTGCCTTGATTGATAAAGCATGTTGTTGTATTTATTGAATTAGCCCAAACTATTTTTGGCAATCTAACAAGTAATCTCATATTTTCAGCTCTCTCACTCAATCTCCTATTTGCTCTTTCAACAAATTCATTTTGCTTGGGAGTTCTTGGGACCGTTTTCTTCTTGCAAATTCCATTAGCAACACAATAACTTTTAAAATTTATGGCATCATGTCTCCACCATTATTGGATTGTAGCCATTTCATTTTTATGCTAGTCTCCTCTTCAACTAAGCTTTTTCATCTCATAAAGTTGTTAAACATGAAATTAATAAATACATTTTCTTATTTTTGATAAGGTAAACACAACTCAGTAAAAACTCGTGTATTGTATGCTTGAAATTGTTTTGGAAGTCCCAATAATGCCAAATATGTAATGTCTAACATTTCTAATTTGTATTCTTTTGGTTTTGGTTATCAATTCCCTAAGTCTAGAAATTATTAGAGACCAAATAACACTTACGCTTAGCTCCTGAAAGGGGACAATAAGGATGTTATGCATAAGGAGTGCAATGCATCCTACATATGCCATGCAACGTAATTATGATATTGTGTGAAGCAACTTTGTAAGTCTTGGCATCTCACTTATGCACATACTAGTAAATTTGACATCTTATAGGGTTTTGAGAAATAAAAAAAAATGTTGAAATGATCTGCTTTACCAATTTATTCAGTAGTGGTATTGTGTGAAGCAAGTAATGGCCTCCCACTTATATGCATAGTAGTAAATTTAGAATCTTATATGGTCCTTTAAGAAATAAAAAATGATGAAATGCTCAACCTTAGCAATTTATTCGGTCCTTTGAAATAGTTATTCTTTATAAGTTTATTTCAATATTAGTTTTCATAATATGTGAGTTTATATGATGTTATTTTCCAATATGAAGTATTGTTTAGTATTTGCTTATGTAGTAAGTGCCTTTGCTGTAAAGAAGCTTTTGTAAATTTATTAAGCCAAGGATCTAGTAAAGGATGCACATATTATGTTTGTATTTTGTAGACATTAGTTTATGTCTCTCAAGCTTATAAAGTTGTACTTCCTGATCGAGTGATTGACTATGATATTATTACGGTATATCGGGTATGTCTGTGATTTCTGCCATGATCCATTTTTGTTACAACTTCTACTATATTTTTTATTTACATTCTAAGTTAATTTTATTGCATTCTTTAGATAGAAAGCAATATTGTTGGATGTTCAGATCCAGAGTATGCTCAGAAGATCATTGATGATGTTCAAGCTATAGACAACTCAGTCTGTGGAGTTATGACCTGTATTTTAACAAAATGTGACTCGTAAAACTTCTAGACTAGTGATTTTGTGATTCTAATATCTTGCTTAATATTTCATCTCAATTCTCCATTGTGTTACAAGCTTTGAAGTTTTTTTTCTTAAAAAGCATGCTCTTTTACTCTTTCATAAGCCACACACACACACTCTCTAACATTGCTCTTTAGTTTTCTTCTCAGTTTTGCCTTAAATCCCAGATTTACTAAACTCTACTGTCCTACCGTTGGCAGAATATGGTAAGTTTGGTGGCAGGATAGAGTACATCCGGATTTATAAGATTTACTAAAGCTGCGAAAGCTCTTTTACAAGTTTACAATGGCTTGAAATGAAACTTGTAACGACTATGATGCCATTTTAATTACAATTGATGCATAAATATTTATTTATTGTTCTCTTCACTGATAATTAAAGTGCATCAAATTTAAAGTTCTCTAAAGCGTATAATTTAAGTTATTGGATGGGTAGCTTTAGGGGTGTAAACGAGCCGAACACGAGCTGTTCACGAACAGAGTCATTTGAACAACCCTAATCATGTCGTCATAAGACAATAAATGTTCGAGCAAGATTTAAAAATTATTATTTATATTAAAACATCATTTGAATCTAATTTAATAATTTTTATTCTATTTTCTTAATCAATATTTTAATTGATTATAAATCTTTGTAGCCTTGTAGTCAATTAGATTTTTTTAAAAATAATACTTTATATATATATATAAACATGATGAGTAGTATTTCGGTATTTCGAGCCGAACACGAACGAACACATCTTAGTTCGTGTTCGGCTCGTATGAGTAGTATTTCGAGCCAAAACGAGCCGAACACGAACGAACACATCTTAGTTCGTGTTTGGCTCGTTAACTTATCGAACGAAATTAACGAGCCGAACACGAGTTTCTTAACGAGCCGAAGACGAGCTGTTCGCGAACAACGAGCCGTTTTGGCAGCCCTAGGTAGCTTAATATCTATATATGTTCCTCTACATTATTTTAATTAGTAAAATTTCTTTTTTTCTCTCTTCATTGCTGATTATTTTTTACCAATTTTTAAGGAAGATTTACATGCATACCACTCAATTCCTATGTATTTACATATCTACTAGCTAAACATTAAATTTTTTACATGAAATATAGCTGCATTACTAAAATACAACTTCATTAAATAATGAATGAATACTTTATATGCATTCATTTCCTCATTTGTTACTTCATTAAATACATTAAAAAAAATAAATTAAAGCAGTCCTCATTTTATAAAAAATAAAAATAAAAAAAGCCTTAAATTCCCACCAATTCCTCTATTTCATCCCTTAAAACTTTGTATTTTGGGTCTCCATCCTATCCGGAGGTTGGCTCATATGTGACGTGGCCACTCCACTTGTCCTTATAATTATATAATTTATAAGTATGTAATAGGTCTCAATTTCCCCTAAATTCTAGGGATTTGATTTTTCACCATATTTTTGGGTTTTTTTAATCAATTGTATGCATCTTTTTCGGTTTGATAATTCCATTTCTTTAGATGTTGTAGTGATTGCATAATAGTATCTGCTTTCTATTTCGCCTACTTATAAAGAAAAGTATTATATGACTTCTAATAAACATTTTTTTTTCTCTTTTTATCAATAAATTTATAAAATAAGAATTCCGAAGACTTTCGAGAAGTTTAGGTAATGGACTTCCATACAATCTGAGAATATGGTGCCACAAATTATGTAAGCCTTGAGAGCAACACATATATGATTGGCATTGTTGGTTCTAAAAGATGGTGAGTCCAAGGAGCCTATATAAGGCATAAAGTAGTCCTTGTTAGTAGAGATTCAAGATGCCCAAGTCGATAGTCTACCTCGGCTGTTGCCACTACGAGAGAACTAGCATGCCATAGGCCTCATTCCAAGATTAGTGCTCTCCAACCAACCATCATACAGATGTGGCCAGTCAAGTACGAGTTACAAACACAAGCTAATATATGTTATGGATTAGACTAAAAAAATAAATTTCTATAGTTTTATTTAGAAAAATTAAGCCCGGAGTTGATGACCATTTCGGGATTTTCAAGAGAATTAATGGGAATGCATATAAGATTAACCTATTGAGAGACTAAAATTTATGTTACATTTAATATTATAAATTTGTTGTCATACTATGAGGATTCATATGCTTCCAGAAAAGAAGACAGCCTCTCCTACTTAGGAGAGTGATATGGGAAACCCTGCAATCACAAGTTCAGAGCACAATAAGCACCGTCTCATGATTTTCTTGCATAGCAGAAACTTTCCCACTTATCAAGCTATTGTGGGGTCGCAGACCTCTATTTAATATTATTTCAATTAGAATTAGGGTTATTTTTGTTTGAGAACTATTTATAGGTTATTATTTTTAAATTTTTTGGATTTTGGCCCTTTTTGTGTATTTGGATATTGCATTATCCAATTTCTACCTTAAGAACAAGTAGCATGTTTGCAGCTTGTTCAGAAACAGGTGGTGATTCTCATTCAACGACTGTATCTCAAGGAGCCATCATTCATGATTCACTCCATTGTTTCAAGTTGTATAACAGCCAAATATCTTTATTCTCTTCCAAATGTCTGGTTTTCTTTGCAACCCTGTTTTTTTACTATCTCTTTTTAAGGGGATCTTAGAAAACTAGAAATATTACTCTTTAGATTATCAATTGTTCAACCAGTTTGTAATTTCCATTTAATGTAATGGAAGTTATATTTTGTTTTTAAAATGGCCAATTTACATACATACTACGCAATTCTTATATATTTGCATATCTAACACCTAAGGTTTGGTATTTATCCTTTTAACATCTTAGTACAAGAAAGGTGTATCTCACTTTTTAAAATAGTGATTGTGGTGCTTTGCTGTGATGTTAAATATTTGAGTGGTATGCATGCAAATATCAATGTTTAGATGTTATATATGTAAATACATAATACTTGTGTGATATGTATGTAAACACTCCCCAAAAATAATGAATCTTGGTCAAGGATTTTGCAATGAACAAACAAAAGCAAGAAGCAAGTTCCTTTAGGAACCAAGCAGCTTCTTCCATCTAGCATATAGCAGCAGGAGCAAGAAGATGAGGAAAGAAACTGCTGTTGATCCGATGACGAATGAGGTGAACAGGTTGTCGATGTTGTACAATGAGCACGGAATGTTCATACCAAATAGTCCGGCTATCATCGAGTCGACTCCCATTGCGAATGAGAAGATGCCCAAAAACAGCTGAAGTTTAATCAGTTCATTTCTTTGATTATCCAGCTGAAAATTCACATAATGTTCTGTGTCATCAATGTATTCCCTCATCTGTGGATCAAAAAGATGGCATATGAATGAATGACAAGCGATTTTACTCGTAATAATATAAAAGAGAATAGTGGCATTTACATACATACCATAGCACATAATTCATATGTATATTCATATTTACATGCATATGACTCATATCTTTAACATCATGTCAAAAATATCACAATTATTATATTTTTAAATGTGAAAAAATATACCTTTCATACATAGATTCATGACACCAAGGCTCTATAAATGTAAAGACTCCAATTTTTAGGCCGAAAGATTGATAGCGATATCTTAAATAAAGTTAATAATCTCATGGCATATCTAAAGCATAGATTATGATGCATGCTATATCAGCAAATATCAAAGAACATCATCAAATATACCCTAGAAATCACAAATCTATGATTTGATGCTTCAACTATGTTACACTAAATCTATTCCCAAGTGACCAAAATTATGGCTAGAAATTTTTTTTTTGATGCAATTGATAGGGATAAATTTGATTTGCAGGTTATGTATTTATATATATAACACTTCAATTTTTAAAAGCCCCTGAGGTGATAGATAGGTAAATACATACGAATTGGGTGACATGTACGTAAAAGCCCCTTATAAATTTTTCATCACATGAAGGTGCTATGATAGGCTCTAAAAGCTAACTCAGAAAAAGACAGATAGAATAAAATATAAAGTAAAAAAATATTCTTATGCTAAAAACCAAAAACAAAAGCAAGATTTTCTTCTATCACATGCATGTTTCCACTAATTTACTCTCTAGCATTTTCTATCCTTCAGAAATATGCAATCACACGAAAATGCTATGATAAGCTCTAAAAGAAAACTCAGCAAAAAGCAAGCATAATAAAATATAAAATAAACAAAATATTAAGATGAAAAACGAATGAATGTTGCTAATAAATTCACCCTGAAATTTGGTTGACATATTAAATGAGTTAAGAGACTAAATTAAGATTTTTATAAACTCTGAGAATAAAAGGACCCTATACAAGACATTTATCTTGAAAAAACTAAAAACCACATAAAACTTTAAGACTATTAGACATTACATCTATGGGGAGGAGGAAGACATACCGCCAAGATTTTATTACGGGTCCCCTCCAATTGCATGAAGGAAGCCTCAAACATCATTTCTAAATCCTCCACATTGTTCTCATCTAAAGGAAAACTAACAGAGCTTGAGCTGCCTCCAGCTTGAGAGTTTAACCTTACATATTGTGGAGCAGGAACTGTGCTGATTGAAGTTGCAGCGGCCAATGCTGCTTCAAGTTGATGACTCTGCATTTGCTTTCTTGTCAGATAAAACTGGGGCATATCTTCGTTATTATCCAATAGATGCTCAATTTCATCTCTAACCTGGTAATATTGAAATTATTCCATAAACACTACTTCAATTATAAAAATTTGATGCACTGAAAACATTTCAAGAGCATGTTATGGCATTCAAAAAAACATATAAATTTGCAGTGAAATAGCATGTGGACTTATGAGCTGATGGGGATCACTATTGATTTTTAGTTTTCTATTTTTTATTTTTGTTTTGTTTTATTTTTATCAGTACTTTAAATAAATCATGTTTAGTACATTATAAATTATAATATCTTTATTTGTTTTTAAAAACACTCGAAACAATTTTTATATGTTTTGTGTGTTTTTTAAAAAAAGTGAATTTGTATTTGAAATCAAAAAGGCATAATTACATATAGACCATCCGAAACATTCACATTTACAAATTAAACACCTAGGTGATTTTTTTGAACTATCGAACCGATGTGTTTACGTGTGCCACAATCAAACTGTTGATAATTTGATAATAATGAAAAATATGAGTTGGGGTTTTACTATGAATTTCGATATTTGAGTAAGAATTTGAAAAATCGATGAAGAGGGTGGTTGATTTGTAAATAACAAGTTTCCGGTGGTCTCTAAATAAAAATATTTATAAGCTTAAAAAAAACAATAAAAAAAAAACAAATAACAAAAGTGATCAAACAAGCCCTTAATAACATCACCTTTTGAAAAAGCAGAAACACGGACACCAAAATGAAAAAACAAAAGTGATCCTAAACAAGCCCTTATTAACATACCTTTTGAACACGAGAAAGCAGACGAGTAAGGTTACTTTTTAAGCTTCGAACACGTTCAAGATTCTTGTTGCTTACATGCTTGGTCAGCTCATCCAATGCAAGATATAAATTTCTTACCAGATCAGTAACACTAGATTCTAAAGAGGTGCACACAATTCCCAGTGCAACATCCAGCACCTGCAACTCAAATGGGAGCACAAGTTCATCTTCATCATTCTCATTGTGCAACCGTTGTCCTGCGGTTGAGGACAAGTTTTTGCCGGATTCATCTGCGTTGCGAATCTCATGTAACTTTGATGGAGGGTTAAGAAAAATTTGTCGTCTAAGTTGATCCACAAAAGGGAGAACTTCATTACACAAGGGATTCAACAGCAGCACTTCATCAGCAGTAATTATAACCTTTATAAACTCTAAATTAACAACCATAGCCTTCTCCCTGACTGAAATATGATAAAAAAAACCAAAAAACATTCAGCCAACAGAAATTCAAATAAGAATAATGGAATTGGAATAAAACTATAGATTAGATGAATTTTACATCAAGTATAATAATGTCACAACGGGCTTACAAGTTTTTACTATTGTGTTAATAATCACTTCAATGAGCGCCATTCATTGAGCTAACCGTATAACAGAAGAGGAAAACATTATGAGATTGAATCATGATGCCCAAAATAAGAAACCAACTGTGACAACAAATAAGAAGATTTACATACATTCCACTCATTTCCTATGTATTTACATATCTAACGCCTAAAATTCAATTTTTACATACATACCACCTTCCCCATGCATGAAAAGGTGTATTTCAACTTTTTCAAAAGTTAATATAGTGGTATTTTTTATGTGATATGAAAGGCTTGGGTGTTTTAAATGTAAAAAACAAAGTTTCGTGTCATATATATGTAAATACATAGGAATAGGGTAGTACGTATACAAATGCCCCAAAGAAATATAAGTAGAATGCACATACAAGCTTATGTGATCAAGTTTTCCTCTAAACAAACAGAGGTGCTACTGATCAAACAGAGGATTTGAAAATTGTTCTTGATCAATTTTCATATATTTTTGGCAGCGTTTAAACTGTTCACCAATCTTGCATTAATGATGACAAACCCACATAAAAGTTCTTTTACATTGCACAGTATAAAACTTAAGCAAAAAAGAACAAATTTGTAAAATTTAGGTAATTAGGAGGATTTTAATTCATGAAAATCACATTTTTATTCTCGAGTAAAGTGAAAATAATCTATAAAAAGCATGTGTATGGTGGTAGTTCTTACAATGGAAAAGCGGACTTGATCTTATATTTTTGAAATATGTATGTGCCTGTTGCTGATCGATATACCATGTACCCTCTGTTTCTATTTTTTTAAAATTTTCACTTCCCTTACTTTCACTTACTGATAATCATATTCTTTTTGATCATTGAATCTGAACGAAATTAGTGATGATCGTCTGGTCGTTCATTCTAATTTGTCATGATATGAAGCGTCGTAAACTTAACTACAAAGAAGTTCTGTCATTGAGTCAGCATTTATATTTTTTTGACTTTTTTGGCCACATACATTGTAGGAGATCTATAACTGTGTTGTTTTAGAGTCATTTACATAGCTAGCACGGAATTCTTATGTATTTACATATCTAATACCTAAACTTTCATATTTACATACATAGCACTAAAATCTTTCTAACACATCAAAAATAGCACTATTACCACTTTTTATGAATGAAATACACCTTTTTCATGCATAATAAATTTAAAGCACCAAATTGCTATGCATGTAAAATTGTAAATATCGAAGTTTAGGCATGAGATATGCAAATACAAAAGAATTGTGTGCTACCTATGCAAATTTCGCTGTTTTTTTACTATTTTTGTTGTGCCATGTATGATTTGATCTATGATGGCCAGAGTACATAGATAGTTATAAGTAATACTCACTCATTGCACCCAAGTATGGCTATAAAGTTGAAACTACTTGTTGTAAAAATTATAATTTGAATATATACTGGGGGAAATTGAATTACAGTACAGGCGCTAATTACTGCACAAATTGCTGCAGACCAACTTTCAATAATTATCTAGTTTTGTTAAACAGACCAATATTATCTTCCCAAAAATTTGGCAATGAATGCCCACTGCCATGAAAACTCAGAAAAATCTGAGAGACAAACACTATAATTGCTCTTCAGGCAAACTGTTATACAGGCATATACTAAGAAGATTCAAGCTGATTGTATATGATGAAGGTTTAGAACCCCCAGAGCTAAGATTTTTTTCAAAATTTTAAAACCAACAAAATAACGTCAGGAGTTTTGGTAACAGGATTTGTAAAAGTGGGATTATTGCTAAACAAACTGTAAAAATTCGTTTAGTGGAATTGTATGAGAAGGTTAAAGAACATGATGAGTAGACATAGCAAGAGCATATAATCCAAAAACAATGAACATTCAAACAAATTGAGCATTTCCCTGAATTTGAACTTAATCCTTAAGCCACCATACTCTTAATGGTTAATATACTTTCTAGCTAATAACACTAACACTCTGTGCTAGTTTGCTGGCTCAAGATACTCTGAGTGATTTTTTTGTTAGTACGGATTTCAAAGTAGCTGGCTTTATTGTGAGAAGATAAATTTTGATTGCTTGAGTGTGTATTACAAACATCTCAAATTGAATCCAATAGTTTTGAGATTCATCTTTAACAAAAATTTAACCAGAACCAATAGGTTTTACAGCAGCATGAATATAAGCCGGCCAATCATGTATTAAAATGAACCATTCTAAGAACAGATATTCCTACATAAATGATAAAAACCCTACAATCCAAAGAAACAGATATTTCTAGCAATTTCATCAAAAGAGAATGGGGATCTCACTCACCGATGATACGAGATGAGTGAGCGAATAATGGGCCGAGAATCCTGAGATCACGAGCAGGGATGGACGCACGCCGCATAATCGAGCTTTTATCAAGTTCAATGATCTCCGATTTCCCCGACCGATCGAACAGCATCCAGAGTCGGGAACCCGCCTTTTTCTTCGCTCCCTTGGCTCCCGCAGACGTGCTCGCCGTCTCCGGCACCACGAGAAGAGGTAACGGAGTTACTACCGGCTGAAGCTTTGTTCTCCTGGAAGCTTTGAGCTTTCTGCGAAAGAATGAAGCGACGTTCTTCTTCCCGGATCGTCTCGCCATATCCTTGTTCGTCGATGGAGAGAACGCGATCCCAAAAAGAGGTTATAAAGAGAGAGAAAAACCCTGGGAGAGAGAGAGGAGACAAGAGAAGAGGTAGGAAGAGTTCCATCTTCTCTCTTCTCCATCTCCTTTCCCTTCCTCTTTCTTTTGGCGCTCGCTCGGCGTTCGGTATACGGTGGGGAATACGTCAGCAATGGCTACGCGCGCGCGTAAAACAATTAAAAGGGATAACTAAAATGTCGGAAAACATCAAATTCAAAAATTGAATCGGTTGGAATTTAAAATAAAGATTCATTTTTTTTAAATATAAAAAAGAATTAATATTTAATTTTAAAATTTAATCAGTTTTAATATTCATTAAATAAAAAAAAATAGGATTATGAAATTATATTATTTTAAAAGAAAATAAACTGAGCATATAATATTATTTAACTTAATTTAATTTGAAAATTTTAGCTTTAAAAAGATGGGGGGGAAGATGAAAGAGAAAAAAAAATTTATTTTTTTTTAAATTTGAAATAGATCTTTATGTTTTAAATTATTTTTTTTTTTAAATTTGAAATAGATCTTTATGTTTTAGTTATGTTAAGCAAGATGTTAAATTTCAATTTGCTTTGAACAAATTAAATTAAATTGAATTATATTTTGATTCAGTTTGGATTGGTTTTAGGAAGACTTTGTTTATTCGATTTTTAGGATTTCGAATTTCTGTTTATTTGATTTGACTAATTTATAAATAGAAGTATCCAAGCTAGCCCATTATACACCTCTCATTTTATTATTTGATTCAAATATATAGTGTTCAATTTAAAATATATATGATCAATATAAATATTTGAAAAAAGAGCATTTACATCTGCACCCCTCACTCTCCACCCCTCACTAAATAGATCTCAACCATGCACTTTGCTTTTTAAAGTGAGTTAATTATCATCTTGCAGTGCGTCAAGGTGCTGCAAAACACAGCACTAAGGTGGTGACTTGCTTAATTTTGAGACGATCTTCAAGAAGATTAAGGGGATGATTGAGGCAATCTCTTGATATGTATATTGAATAAAAAAATGATGCCAACATATTTGCAATGATCTTGTCATATATTACTTATTTATTTTGATGTGGATATTAAGGTGTTGCTTCTCTAGTAGCACTTAAAACCCCAATAGAATATTGTTTCAAAAGGCTAATTTTTGGATGTTGATTAAGGGGATGATTGAGGCAATCCCTTGATATGTATATTGACTAAAAAAATGATGCCAACATATTTGTAATGATCTTGTCATATATTATTTATTTATCTTTATGTGGATATTAAGGTGTTGCTTCTCTTGTAGCACTTAAAACCCCCATAGAATATTGTTTCAAAAGGCTAATTTTTGGATGTGTGGGTATTTTACATTAACAATAACATTCTCATAATTTTTTCACTATGCTTTTCTTACTATTTTCTCAATTTAAACCTTATGATTCTTGCAAGTATAGTCATGGCATTGCCATGAAAATATTTAGGAAAGGGGACAAAGTGTGGATCAGTAAAATAAAGACAAGCAACATGCTTTAAAAATTTAAACTTTATCAAAAACACATAACCTATCCAGAGTATTAGCAAATAATTAAGGAATTCTTAAAAATTTAAGGCAATGTTTTTAACTAGATTGTTGACTTTACAAAAAATTTATAAATTTTTTTGAAAGGTTATATAAACATCAAAACTATGAAATCATTTGATATATTACTCACTTCATCTAAAATATTAACCTAACGTTGTCCTTATGGCAATATCATGATGCTAAAATATAGGTTCGATCTAATTAGGATCATTTTTTATAAGATAATTGTTAGCACCAAAATAGTAAATGCTTTGATTCTAATTTAAGTTCATCTTTAAGATGAGTTTGAGTTTGCCACTCTCATTCTCATTTGTTTGAATTAGGAACCACCATATGTTTTGGCCTCTAGCCCGTTCATAGAGATAGTTTAAATATTTCGCTATATCAATATTCAATTCACATGCCAATCTCTTAGGCAATTTTAGCTTAATTAACTAAGCTAGAAATCCTACCTCAACGATTGGCCTAGGTTGAGCGGGACATAATTTATTCATGACTATAACTCTATTTTTTAACATAGCAAAGACTATAGGAGACAACATTTCCTCATTCAGTCCTTCAAACTCAATCAATTTTTATTTAAAAATGTTTGACCATTGTTGACCATAGGTTAAATGTCTTCCTATATTGATCCTAATTATCTAATAGGCCAAACTATTAGTTTAAATTATCTCTCTTTATTTCACAAGATTAGCCACATACTTGTTATTCTTGTGATACTCTTAGCTTAACCTATGAACCTAGGTTAAACCCATGGTCAACATCTATTTCGTGATTTTAAACAAGATTATCTAATCTTTTGGCTATAATCCTTTAATAAGATTTATACTACTAAACCATTGTTGAAATTATTTCAATTGATCATTCGAGTAAACTAGACCCTAATGCTCCTCAATCAGACATCCAATTAAATCAATATGATGCTAAACTTTATTATTACGAAAAATTGCCCTTTGCCAACCATTTGAATCAGTTATATAGGTTATAATAGTATAATAAACTTAAATGAACCTTTATTATGATTAGACAAGTTAACCCAACTAGACTTAAATGACCCATCTGACCCCTTAAGGCTTATAGAACAAGGTTGACATAATTGAACAAATTAAGCCTAACCAATCTCTAGAAACTATTTCATTTGATTAATCCTATATGATTTAGGCTTAATTGAGTCGAAATGAACTTCTTTTAATATTCCATGTAGCTTAATAAGTAAAGTGCATACTTTTTAGGAAGATTTACATACACGCCACTTAATTTCTATGTATTTACATATCTAACCCAAACTTCAATTTCTACCTATAACAACAGTATTTTTTATGTGATATGAAGCGTTTGTGTGGCATAATGTAATCTTAACTTTACAAACTTTGGCGCCAAGAAATTTCTTACAATTACCAAACTCTTAAGGTTGGAAAGGTAATTAATTAATTAATTGCTTATCACATCCACATCATCATCAATAATAAAGAAATAAATAAAGCTCATCAACGAAAGCTTGTCTTATTAAATTACCTTTCTTCTTGTATACTTCACAAATTAATTAGAATGTATGGAGCTACATTGCAATCACCAAATTTTTAAGAAAATTCTGAATTTTCTTATATCAATCTTTTGCACTTGCCACCATGATCTTTTGCTCTTGGCACCATTACCATAAACCATATATATATATAGATATATATATGTATAGCTTTCAAATAATTTTCTTTATTATTTATGATCTATCATTATTGTTTACTAGAGCTCTCATATTAATTTTATTTAATTTATTAGAGCTTAATTGTCACTTAATTGTCACCATTGTCGGGCCACCGCCATTAGATGACCATTGTTGCCTGGTCACAACCACCACTTAACCATTGATGCCCGGCCACCATTGTTGTCATCATCGAACCATGTTGTCTGACCGTTTCCACAGCCTGATAGTTCATTCCCAACCATCGTCCTCAGAATATTGTAGCTCGGTCTCCTTTATCATTACATCACCAACGTCATCGGTCCACTGCCGCTTGATTGCTATTATCGCCAGAGCAATGTCATCATTAGATTGTTGTTACCTAGCTACCACAGCCACTCTGCTAGACTGCTAATGTCAAGCCAACTCAATCTTGTCGGAACTGTAGTTGTCGGGATGTCGTCGTTACCTCAGCTGTCATTGAGCTATCATCGATGCTTTAGGCCTCCATTGTTGGAACACCATCTCGATGTCAGAACAACATCTTCAGGTTGTCATCCCCACTAAACCACTAACATCGCATTGATCAATAGACCATGATCGTTGCTGCTAGACCACTATCTCCCAGCCGACGTCGCATGTACCATTGGCATTGTCGAACCACTATCGTTGGCATTGTTGAACCACTACCATTGGCATTGTCAGACCACTACTGTCATCATCGGATAACTATCTATTAACTCCCACTATCATCGTACCACCTTCACCTATCAATCAACATAACATGATCACAAGGATAATGTTGTTGCTATCACGTTGTTGATTGACTATTATCACGGTTATTGTCAAACCAACAACACCTGACTGACTCATATGCCACCATTGGACCTTTGTTGTCACATTGTCATTGTCAATTCACTGTCAAATGACCATCATTATTAATGTTGTTGGATCACTGTTGTCTCGCAACCACCCCTATTGTTGCTAATAAATCCCGATCTCCATCACAAAGCCTTAATTTTTAATCTTCCATTATCACAGTCAGTTTATTATCACTTCTCCAATATTTTCCCAATAGTACATTAGAAGTTGGTTCCATTGTTTCTCTCAGACTAAAATCGAGATGATGGCTTTGGATTTGACTCCCAAGTATAGATAGAGCTCTTTGTTTGACTTTAAGCTTTAGAAGAGTGGTGGTGATTTTAGAGATTTTTTTAATTTTTTGAATGCTTATTCATATTCATCTGACCATAAGAAATTCTTCACTCCTCGTAATATTTTGAAGAAAATATCGCGCATGCTGCCCAATTTCAAGATGAACCAACTTTGGTCTGTGATTCAGTTGGTTAACTTTTGGACCTTCTAGGTGCTCCGTAGGGATGTCATATTGATCAGTGCCTGAGCTTTGGGTTAGCCTTTATTCCCTCCGAGGTTAAGAGGTAGCTTAAGCATTTTCTTGGATGCTTATAATGTATACTTGAGAGGATTAAGCTTCATATTAAATTTGATTACATTATTTGAGGTCTATTTCAAATCTTTCTTTTGTGGTGTTTACTTTTTAATTAGATATCATCCACATATACTTTAACATTTCTTTTTTTTTTATTTTGCAAAAATTACATCCATCATACAACGTATATATTTTTCAGCTCAATGGGCACTACAATATAGTTATACACTCCCTCGCTTGTGATGAAAATAGTCTTTCTAGGGTTGGTTGGATGTATATTTATCTGATGGTAACCAGAGAAGGCATTGTGGATGCTCATAATAGAATGAACGACTGCTGCTTCTATGAGT